TCCTTTCCCGTCTTTAAGTTCAGTTGCTCGCTGGGAACCCCCCTGCCTCCTGCAGCCCCTGTACATCTGTTCTCCCGCAGACCAAAGCTGCTTGCCTCGCTCCAGCTCTTCTAACTCGCCTTTACTGCTTCCCTCTGATCCTTTTATTCCAGGTGCAGACACAAGGCACAGCTTTCAGACCTCCCCGTGCTTGGTTCAGGCTGATCAAAACTTCTAGTTGTCAGATACGCCCTGGGATGAAAGGGCGTCTCTCCTTGCTGCTGTGTTTCCAACCTGCAATGCCGAGGCCTTCCACCTGATTTATTGGCAAACACAACCTCTGCTGCTCCGCTGGTCCGTGCGGCGAGGGCAAACCTAGAAGATGCAGTTGTTCAGTAGGAAACTGCTAAAGCAGAGGCAGAGACATTAACAATGGAGATGGAAGAGATGGCTGAAAAGCTGAGATGTTTTAACTCACAAATTGATGACCTCACCTCAGAAAAAGAGTGTTTGGCTAAAGATTCAAAAGAAAAACAAGACAGAATCCTTGAACTAGAGTCTTTGAACTCGACTACAGCAAAACTGTTAGAAGAAAAGGAGAAAGAAATTACACAAATCAAGAATGAGTTTGAAAATACTGTGGTCTTGCTGAAATCTGAGCTAAAAGATTTAAGTGAGAAATTAGAGTTTTCTTGCAAGGAGGAAGCAGATGCTAGAGCAAAAGAGCAAGTCTTGATTAATCAGGTGGCTGGTCTTGAGCAAGATAAAACAATACTATTACAGGAATGTCAGGAAATAAAAAATGAAAATATCAAACTGGATCAAACAAGGGAAGCACTTGTTCAAGAACTGATGGATTATAAACAAAAACTCAATGAAAAGGTGCAAGAAAACAGTGCTTTTCAGAATCAGGTGAAAGAAACAGAGGAGCTGTCTTTACAGCTCACACATGTGCAACATGAGCACAAACAAGAAAAAGAAAGGCTGCAGAATTTGATTGCTGAGTTGAAGCTGAAGGAGCAACATTTGTCTGATAATGAAACCTTCACAGATATCCTGAACATTTTTAAAGTGTCTTATATGGACCTTGAGAAGGAGCTGGAATTTACACTTTGTGAAAAGAACATTTTACGTAAAGAGGTAATACCATTTCCGTTAGAGTAAATTTCCGGTGTTCCCGCAGCAGGGGGGTCTCGGCTCTGTCCCACCCTGCAGACTTTGCAGCGGCACCGCGGCGGGGCGGGGGGACACAGGACGGCAGGAAGCCTGATTTTTGTTTTTCTCCAAATAGGGTGTCACAAAGAGGGTGCCCTGGCAAGGGGAAGCCTGTTCAGACCCACCCGAAGCCTAGTGAATCCCGGGCAGGCAGCTGGCAGGGTTCTGCCCGGGCACTGCATCCCCAGCGCGGACTGGAGGTGGCAGCAGGGAGCTGCCTGGTGCCTGCTCTGCTCTGGGTACAGCTCCTGTTCTGCTGCCCCTGGCCCCTGCCCTTCCCCTTCCTGGGGTGCAAAGGCTGCTGCGGGTTGGTGTGTGTCAGGGGTAAAAGATAAAGCCTTGAAGGAAGCAAACTGAAGCAGCCCTCCATTTCTAAAGTGATTGTCCTAAAGCAACAATTGGAGAAGTCCCACCCTGCTGTTACTGGCCCACTTCAGTAGCTTTCTACACAGGTCTTCCTCACTTCATAAAACAACTTGAATGAGGGAATCAAGTGAAGTGCAGGAGCTGCACCCTTGCCCTGGTCACACTGTCATCCTGCCCTGCACCCCAGCTCTGTGGAGCTTCAGGGCCAGGCAGCCCCTTGGGCATCCTGTCCCCATGGCTGCCATGGGGCATGTGACAGCTGTAGTGGCTCTTCTGTCCTGCTCTAACATTCAGCTGTAATCACTCCTTTGCTGCCATGCAGACCTGAGGCCTCTGTAAGTGCAGGTTGGAGCTACAGCTTGAGTCAGGTGTTGGCTGCAGCACCAGGGATCCTTCACAGAACCTGAGTTTAACTGAGGTTTCTGCTCCACACACCTTACAGGTAATTTAAGTTAGAGGCAGCCCTTTGAGTCAAAGTCGGCCTGAAGTATCTGTGAAGGCAGTAGCAGGGCTGGGAAGCAGTGCAGCTCTGTTGTATTGGTTCCTTAATCTTGGGAGCTGCTGCCCTGAACTGTGGGCTGTGAGGGCAGCATCTGTCTGTGGGTGGGCATGGGTGAGCTGCCTCGTGCCTGCAGCCTGCCCTGGGCACAGCCTCCTGCCCCTGCCCAGCCCTCCTGGCAGCTCATCCCCAGCTCCGAGGGATGATCACAGCCTGGGGAGAGGGCAAGTTCCCAAGGGGCAGAACTTGCTCTTTGCAGCCCTTCCTGGGGGCAGGGATCCACACCTCACACCCTCCCTGCAGTCAGCTCCATGAAATGCAATTTTTCTTCCTCAGAGAGAAAGAGCTGAGTCAGCCACGGCTGGATCTTTTTTAAGTGGATAGAAATGCTGTGATGTATTTCAGGTCTTGCACCCAGGATTTGTAAGCCATTCCCCATGGATTCCTTCTAGCATATACTTGGAATTAAAAGTGGCTGGGCCAGACTGCACTAGAGGAGGAATGAATGATGCAGGAGTTGGTTAAAGGTGAATTTGGAAACTAGCTTTTATTATTCACACTTCTAGTTTAAAAACTTGAGGTGAACTTTTGCAGAGGCAGAAAGGGACCAGGAAGAGCCCACCCCGAGTAGGCATCCTTGCTGCTGGCCTGTCCCCGGGGGGCACCAGGAGGCTGGAAAATGGGCTGAAAGCAGAATTCAGGCTCTGTCCCTGCCCGCTGCCGCTTCCCGGAGGTGCTGCCCCCCCGTGTCTTGCCTGCGAGTCCCACCGCCCCTTTCTCACGAGGAAGTCGGGTACTCGGTGCTGTGGGAAGGGAGAGCAGCAGCGGGACACTCGGTGTCCTGGTACCCGCCGGCGGGGCTGGGCTGCGGGCACTCACCTGTCCGGTGGGTTTGGTGATGGGGACAGCTTGGAGCAGGGGATGCCCCAGGGCTGGGGGAGCCTGGCTCCCCACGGCCCGAGGGGGTGAAAGCTGCCAGACAGCCCCAAGCTGGCCACTGGTGGGGAAGAACGGCCCCCCCAGCTCTCCCAGTTCTGGGTGCTGCTCTTTGCCATGACAGCTCTGAGGGGCCCTGCCCCCCCTGCTCTGGGCACGATGGTCTAGTGGGAGGTGTCCCTGCCCAAGGCAGGGGGTTGGCCCAAGATGATCTTTAAGGCCCCTTCCAAGCCAAACCATTTACGATTTTCTGATGATGGCAAATTGTGCAGCTGATGCTGGGGCAGCTCAGCCCTGCCCGGGGCATTTCTGGGGTGATGCTGAGCAGGCAGCAGTGCAGGAGCTGAGCGGGGGAACACAGCTCTTCTGGGGGACTAAATCTAAACCCAAGCTTCTTAAACCTGGATTAGCTTCTCCCCTTTATTCACCACCTCTTCTTTACTGATGCACTGAGGGACAGGTGAGGAGGCTCTGTGATGCCAGCAGCATGCCAGGTTGCTGGATCTGCTGCCCGTGCTGTGCCCTGACGCTGCTGCCCCTTCTGCCTTGCAGCCTCCCCCTTCATCATTGCCATGCTCCTGGCCAGCCTCAACAGCTGCTGCAACCCCTGGATCTACATGCTGTACACAGGGCACCTGTTCCACGACCTGATGCGGCGCCTCCTCTGCTGCTCCACGCGGTACCTGAAGTCGCGGCCGACGTGCGACCTCAGCGTGGGCAAGAAGAGCAACTCCTCCTCCTTCGTCCTCAGCTGCAAGAGCACAAGCCAGAGGAGCTTCATGCAGCCATCCCTGACATGAGGGCATGGCCTGCTGGGACCGCGCTCTGCCACCCTGCTGCCCCCAGCACTTCCCTGGGAAAAGCTGGGATGCGGACAGGCCCGGGGGTTCTGTATAAATAGGTGTATATATGTCTGTGTGCCTGCACGCCTGTGCAGCAGTCGTTGTTTAACTGAGGTGGGAGAGGGGCAGGACTTTGGTGGCCTGAGTTTCAGTGCTGCCTGGGACTGGGCAGCAGGGACCTGCTTCTGAGCACCCAAACCCCTGACACTGGTGGCTTTCGTGCCACCAGCAGGGGCAGGTTTTGCCCTGAACGAACCACGTGCTGCTGGGGCAGGTGTGCTGGGGCCCTGCTGGGTGCAAGGGGCTGAGCACGGGGTGGTGGGTACCACCTCAGGGACAGGGGCATCGGGCACCTGGCCCCACCAGCCCCTCCAGCAGGGACCCCTCAGGGTGCCAGCGCCTGGCAGAGCCGCACGGGGTGCTCGCCCTGCTGGAACTGCTGAGTCCCATCCCTGCTTTGGGACTGGGCAGCAGGGACCTGCTTCTGAGCACCCAAACCCCTGACACTGGTGGCTTTCGTGCCACCAGCAGGGGCAGGTTTTGCCCTGAACGAACCACGTGCTGCTGGGGCAGGTGTGCTGGGGCCCTGCTGGGTGCAAGGGGCTGAGCACGGGGTGGTGGGTACCACCTCAGGGACAGGGGCATCGGGCACCTGGCCCCACCAGCCCCTCCAGTAGGGACCCCTCAGGGTGCCAGCGCCCGGCAGAGCCGCACGTGGTGCTCGCAGCACGGGGTGCTCGCCCTGCTGGAACTGCTGAGTCCCATCCCTGCTTCCCAGCCTCCCTGCATCCCTGCACGGTGCCAGCCCTGCTTCCCAAGGGGGCCAAGGGGAGCAGTGGGGACCCGGGGACAAGGCCAGCCCTCAGGCTGCGTGAGGCTGAGCACAGGGTCAGCAGGAGCCAGGGGAGTGGGCGCGACTGCAGGGGCAGAGGGTCTGTGCAATAACAGGTTTGCTGAGTGTGCTCAGGGGCTTCTCCCAAGGCAGGAGGGTGGGATTGCAGCTGGGGTCCGTGGGTTTGATGGAAAAACTCCAGTCCCTGGAGGCCAAGCTTTTGCTCTGGGATTACTGCAGGTCACTTTCAGCCAATGCCAATGTGATTGTCTTGCTCTGTGACACGCAAGGTCACGCTCATGGCATGGATTTTTAATTGTCAAGAAGTACTTGTAGATAAAGTTTTCTGACTGTGTCTCAATGGGAAGTGGGAGGGGTGGTGCAGAAGGACCAGAAGACTAAGAAAATGAAGGAAACCATAGGGAAACAGGGTTTTAAATCCAGGACCTAAGTGTGCTCAGTGTGATGTTTGGTCTGTGGAGCACTGCACCAAGCACTGGAGATCTGCCACCACCTGACTGCACAGCATGAAGCAGCTGGGACCAATCCTGGGTGGTGGGATGGGGACTGAGGTGCAGCCCTGGCTGAAGGCACCTGGAGCTTCTCCTGTGACTTCAGTGGCAGCAGAATCTGGTGACTGCAGAGGGATCCTCCTGCCTTTGCTGCTGCCTCTGGCCCTGCAGGGGGGATGTGTGGAAGCCAGGCCTGCCTGCAGCCACCTTTGGCCTTGCCTGTTGGGAATGAATATGAAAAATGCTTTTCAATGTGTATGTTATTTTTTCACTATCATCAACAGGTACATTTTCACCTTTCATATCCTGGCATCCCTTGATTTTTTTTCTAGTAGCTTCAAGTGAGCTCTCAGCCCATTTGCTGAGTTTGACCCAGCATGTTCAGTCTCAGCTTATTTTACCAGATGGGTTCAGATCCTCAGGAAGGCACCGAGAGTTTCCCTCCCACGTTCCTCTTCTTTCTCCTTGAGAGTAATTACCTCCTGCACAAAACAAGGAGGGAGGGCCCAGGGACCTGGAGCATCCTCCATCTGCCAGGAAGAAATAACGTGGGATGAATTTTCCTGGGCCTGATACACAGAGGAAGGAGGAAGCTGTGGGAGATTTGCCCTGCAAACCCTGGGTGCAATCACCAGGTGCAGTTAGGGGGGTTGGGCAGGCAGGGCTGTGCCCCCCGTGTGGGGACACTGCCATCCCCAGCCACATTGCACTGCTGCCCACTGCAGAGCTCCACAGCAGCTCCAGGCTTGTTTATTGAAGGACATGGAGCAGGCTGCTGAAGGCCAAAAGCCCAGCAGAGGTGATGACTGAGCAGTGTGTGCTCCATGGGCAGGGAACTCATCGACTGCTGCGTGGGAAGGTCACAGTTTTGGAAGTGTGTTGGGTTCAGGCTGTGAACTGCTAGAATGAGACACTATTAAAGAGAATATAACCCCAGTATTGGTTTTAATGATTTTTATTCCCACAAAAAGCTTTAAAAAATGCTCACGATAAAATGTATTTGGGGACATTTTCCCCCTACAAATATCTAACTATATGTTGTCTTGGTTGTTTTTTTTAATAACTCCATCCATCTGGAGGCTGGTGTTGCTAGAGCCCGGGTTCTGTATTGCTACAGAATAATGAAAGACTGCAATCCCAAGCCATTGGAAGAGCCCCAATAGAAAATCTGGCTCTTTCTTGTCCTTGGCATGGCACTACAAGAAACTTTGGCTCCAAGTCTTTGTTGGAAGCCAAGGGAAAAAAGCACACGAATACAATTGAGAATAACCTCTGAGCAGCGAGACCTCCTGGGCCCAGCTTCAGCAAAGCACTTAAGGCCGGAGCCAACGAAGTGTTTAAGTGCCTCAAAATTAAAGTACAGCTTCATGGAAGATGGACCAAACAAATTAATTGACAACACAGGGGAGGAAGTAGCTCCAAAGTGGACCTTTTTCCCCTTGTGCCTGTGTTGCCTCTGCAGCTGGAGCAGCGGGGAGTGTCCTGGAGGAGCGTCCCTGCTGCCCCCGAGTCTGGGGGATGCTGAGGGAGGGGCAGGATGAAGGCACAGCTGGAGACAGCAGCTCACCCAGCACCACAGCAGCAGGGGTTGTGAGTATTCTCCCTGAGAAACAAGCCAACGCTGTCCTTAAAGCCAAGCTAGTCATGGATGACAGGCCACGTGCTCTGGCTGCTCCCTGTGCTGCAGCCCCACAGCACCAACCTCTGCTGGACCTGCACCACAAACCACTGCCACACTGCCACACTGCCACACTGCCACACTGCCACACAGGGACTGGCAGCTGCCAGCTGGCCCGGCAAGCCA